TTGAATATTTAAAATATTTAAATCGTTAAAAGATAAAAACAATCATAAAACATAATCCTAAACAAAATTGTTTCGGCACAAAGAAGGACATATGCTATTTATATTTATTGATGTTAAATCAAATAATATGTTTTGTTAAAATATTGTGTAATTTTTGTACAGTAAAGATTTCCAGGAGAATAAAACAACTTGTAGGTTATTACCTTTTAATAAGTAATTAAAAACAGGGAGAAAGAAGAGTGCTTAAACTTAACATTTCGTACATTGTATGCATATAAATGAATTAAAAAATCGAAGGACGTTTTCAACAGAAAGCAATATACTTTATCAAGTTCAATCTTATGATATCTGAAGAGATGAGACCGACCATGCCGGTTTGTAACTGTGTTGTCTTGCGAGACTGTTAGACTTAAAATTCACGTTTCATATACATGTATTGTGTTAGCGAAAAGTTCTGTCTTCAATGTTGGTATTTTTTTGGAAAGTAGGACGATGTAATTTAAGCGTAGAAACGATCATTTTTGACAAACAAATACATTATTGTTAATAACGTATTCAGTTTTGCATGATATTCTAAAAAGACAATAGTAACACGTAGTACGAACTGACGCAGATGTTTCAATATGACAGTCACTTTGTCCGGCGGACAAGTCGCAGTTAATATAACATTAAAGGGATATCATCGACGCAAACATATATGTTCTAGCACGGGTATAGCTGAACCGACGTTGTTCCACGAAAAGTAGTATATTTAGGTCATTGTTTTTCAACCGATGATATGCGAGTGCTTGCTAAATCAACAAGTCAACCGCAATCTCTGTACAATTATTGTCCAGCTAGACACACAGTACGTAACTAGCGATTTAACTATGATCCTCAATATAAAGTACGAGATATATGCAATAAGATTCATCTGTTTGGAAATATATACATCACAGTTTTACTCTATACACAATCAAGCAACTATTAAACGTGTCATTACGTGACAATATTCACATACCTCGTGACCACCTACTATTAAACGTGTCGTAACGTGACAATATTCAAATACTTCCTGACCACCTACTGTTAAACGTGTCATAACGTGACAATATTCACATACTTCCTGACCACCTACAATTAAACGTGTCATAACGTGACAATATTCAAATACTTCTTGACCACTTACTATTAAACGTGTCGTAACGTGACAATATTCAAATACTACGACACCACCTACTATTAAACGTGTCATAACGTGACAATATTCACATACTTCCTGACCACCTACTATTAAACGTGTCATAACGTGACAATATTCACATACTTCCTGACCACCTACTATTAAACGTGTCGTAGTAACGTGACAATATTCAAATACTTCCTGACCACCTACTATTAAACGTGTCGTAACGTGACAATATTCACATACTTCCTGACCACCTACTATTAAACGTGTCGTAACGTGACAATATTCAATTACTTCCTGACCACCTACTATTAAACTTGTCGTAACGTGACAATATTCAAATTCTTCCTGACCACCTACTATCATGACAATCAAGGACGGTTTACTGTAGAGCTGTACGACTCCGATTTTCTGTACTAGCTTAAATACAATAGGTTTTCTATTATCATTTCTATTTAATGTATTTTTGACGTAAATCTGAATAAAATTGACAATTAAGTAAAAAATGGAATCCATCTTCAATTTCGGCAAAATAGTAGCATGTACACATTTTGTCATGTCTCGAAATATTATTATGTCTGCCTTTCTCTATGTTAAGATCATGAGATGATAATCTTATACTATCCAATAGACTCGTAATGTGGTTTGATACGAAACGACAAACCAGTATTATTCCGATAGTTAAACAAGGGGTCCAGAGGGCCTGTATCGCTCACCTGTATATCTAAGCAATTATGGCAAAATATTCTCCAAATGAGATCCAAGGGAATATGTAGCATATCTTTATTAGATTTGTATGCCCAGCAATTTTATGTATGGTTATGTGGTGGGGATCTCAACTGTTTCCAAGCTGTGACTCAGAAACTAGGTCCCTAGGGTTGTGACCAGACCCCATGATCAATTCTAATATCATGACTGCATTCGTCTCTTTTTGCCCATCATTTGTATTTATAGTTTTGGGGTTCAGTCAGATCCCAGGGTCTATTCTAATATCATGACTGCTTTTTTATCTTCATGCCAAGCATTTGTATACATAATTTTTGGGTGGGGATCTCAACCGTTTTAAAGTTATGGCCCAGGTACTATGTCTCTAAGGGTGGGGCTAAACCATAGGGCCATCCTGGAAGCAAATATGTATTCTACTCTTTATACTCAGCAATTGTATATATGATTATACAGTGGGGATTTCAACCAAGTAATACACTGTTTTTGACCCCACTCCTTAGTCTGGGGGGTCAGCCCCACCATTTGTACAATTTTGAATCACTGCCTCCCATGAATGCTTTTCATCAAATATGATTGATATCCAGTGCATAGTTATACAGAAGAAGTTGTTTATAGCAATATAGCCAAATTGCCCCCTTTTGGCCCCGCCCCTTAGCACCCTGGGGAGTCAGCCCCACCATTTGTACAATTTTGAATCACCACCACCTCAGGGATGCTTCCAGTCAAATATGAATGATATCCATCACTTAGTTCCTGAGAAGAAATCGCTAAAAGCAATATAGCCAAATAACCACTTTTGGTCCCCGCCCCTCAGCCCCTTTGGGGGTCAGCCCCACAATTTGTACAATTTTGAATTCCTGCCTCCCATGAATGCTTTTGATAAAATATGATTGATATTCAGTGCATAGTTCTACAGAAGAAGTTGTTTGTAGCAATATAGCCAAATTGCCCCCTGTTGGCGCCGCCCCTCAGGCCCCTGGGGGTCAGCCCCACCATTTGTACAATTTTGAATCCCTGCATCCCTGAATGCTTTTGATCAATTATGATTGATATCCAGTGCATAGTTCTACAGTAGAAGTCGTTTGTAGCAATATAGCCAAGTTATCCGCTTTTGACCCCGCCCCTCAGCATCCTGAAAGGTCAGCCCCAAAATTTGTACAATTTTGAATCACCACCACCTAGGGATGCTTCCAGTCCAATATGGTTGATATCCATCACTTATTTTCAGAGAAGAAGTCGCTTAAAGCAATATAGCCAAATTGCCCTCTTTTGGCCACGCCCCTCAGCCCCCTGAGGGTCAGCCCCACCATTCGCATAATTTTGAATCCCCACCACATAGGGATGCTTCCAGTTCAATATGGTTGATATCCATCTCATAGTTCCAGAGAAGAAGTCGCTTAAAGCAATATAGTCAAATTGCCCTCTTTTGGCCCCGCCCCTCAGCACCCTTGTCAGTCAGCCCCACCATTTGTACAATTTTGAATCCCCAACACATAGGGATGCTGCCAGTCCAATATGGTTGATATCCATCACTTAGTTCCAGAGAAGAAGTCGCTTATAGCAATATAGCCTATTTGCCCCCTTTTGGCCCAGCCCCTCAGCCCCCTGAGGGGTCAGCCCACCCAGTTGTACAATTTTGAATCCCTGCCTCCCATGAATGCTTTTGATTAAATATGATTGATATCCAGCGCATAGTTATAGAGAAGAAGTCGTCTGTAGCAATATAGCCAAATTGCCCCCTTTTAGCCCCGCCCCTCAGTCCCCCCGGGGGTCAGCCCAACCATTTGTACAATTTTGAATCCCTGCCTCCCATGAATGCTTTTGTTCAATTATGATTGATATCCAGTGCATAGTTCTACAGAAGCGATTGCCCTCTTTTGGCCACGTCCCTCAGCCCCCTGGGGGTCAGCCCCACCATTCGCACAATTTTGAATTCGCACCACATAGGGATCCTTCCAGTCCAAAATGATTGATATCCATCTCATAGTTCCAGAGAAGAGGTCGCTTAAAGCAATATAGTCAAATTGCCCCCTTTTGGCCCCGCCCCACAGCACCCTGGGGAGTCAGCCCCACCATTTGTACAATTTTGCATCCCCAACACCTAGGTATACTGCCAGTCCAATATGGTTGATATCCATCACTTAGTTCCAGAGAAGAAGTCGCTTATAGCGATATAGCCTAATTGCCCCTTTTTGGCCCCACCCCTCAGCCCCCTGAAGGGCCAGCCCACCCAGTTGTACAGTTTTGAATCCCTGCCTCCCATGAATGATTTCGATCAATTATAATTGATATCCAGTGCATAGTTATACAGAAGAAGTCATCTGTAGCAATATAGCTAAATTGCCCCCTTTTGGTCCCGCTTCTCAGCCCCCTGGGGGGTCAGCCCCAGCATTCGCATAATTTTGAATCCCCACCACATAGGGATGCTTCCAGTCCAATATGGTTGATATCCATCTCATAGTTCCAGAGAAGAAGTCGCTAAAAGCAATATAGTCAAATTGATCTCTTTTGGCCCCGCCCCTCAGCACCCTGGGGTGTCAGCACCACCATTTGTACAATTTTGAATCTCAACCACCTAGAAATGCTGCCAGTCCAATATGGTTGATATCCATCACTTAGTTTCAGAGAAGAAGTCGCTTAAAGCAATATAGCCAAATTGACCCCGTTTGGCCCCGCCCCTCAGCCCCCTGGGGGCTAGCCCAACTATTTGTACAATTTTGAATCCCCACCACCTAGGAATGCTTCCAGTCAAATTTAGTTAAATTCCGATCAGTGGTTAAGAAGAAGAAGTCGTTTAAAGCAACTGATGACGTACAGACGACGGACGGACGACGGACGGACGCGGACGCCACAGTATGGCATAAGCTCACCTTGGTCCTTCGGACCAGGTGAGTTAACAATTCTATTATGTTCTGAACTAAATTAAAGAAACAAATTAAAATCATCTGGTTACGTCGGTATGAGCTTTAAAGAAGCATGATACCTCAGTATGAAATACTGTGATAATGTTTCTTTAAACCTAACGATATGCACCAATAGCAGAGATGCAACAATATAATTGTTACAATGTGTGTTTGTGTGTTTGTGTACGTGTATATATATACCTTCCAAGTGACAGCGCCACACACTTTTCACAAGCTGGCGACAATCTGTAAACCGAAAACTACATGTACAGTTATCTGGTAAGTGGGATTTATTCTTAATAACTTTGAAACTTCTGTAATGATTTTTTTATGAACAGTCTGGATGCAATAATGCAACTTTTGCTCATTACAATTATTGTCAAAGAATTATTTAGATTTGCTTTACATATTTAACAGAAATAAACCGAAATCGCCATTGATATATGTAAAATAGTGTTCTGGTCTGACTTTGGTCTTTACAGTGATCCATCGTTACACATATATTATGCAAGACTTTTATAAACCTTTATAGAAGGTTGTTCAAACAATTTTCTTTTACTAAAACCTCAAGAATGAAGCCTGGACGGTCACAAACCTTTACCACTTTGCCACCGCGGTTTCACCTCAAAGAATATATGGAAAATAAAATCATAATAACTGCCTTACTGAAGCATTTTTCTCATGTTTTCTGGGTAGGTGAAACACCGCGATGACGAGTCATACACTGTTTGTGGTGTTGTTCCTGTGGATGCAGTACATCTGTACTGTAGGAACGTTCGACGGGGGTGTCTTGGAGGGTTTCGACGATAACTTCGGTAAGCAATTCAAATCATTGTTTATTTGAACACACAATGACAGGATAAACACAGATTTGCCTTGGGATATTTTTATACACATAGATAGATACTCTAAAAAAAACGACATCATAAAACAATTATATAAGACTCTCTGATATGAAATGGGTTTGATTACGGAATTGTTTTCGGGGGTATTGGGGATTATTTTGGAAAGCACCCGAGGCTCTCTATGCAGTTCTCGCTGCACATTTTTGATTTCATATTCACTTCCAAACCACATAGTTCACTCCTTAACGCCCACTGACTGTCGTAGTCTCCTTTTTCAAGCATTTTCTCTGTGTTTTAGTTTCAAACAAGTTTAATATATTCAACAAAATCACTTCTATATACTATAATACTGCAACGTCGTTCCCTGCAGGGACAGACCACTCGCGAATACCGATGTTAACTGGTAGTGCACCTTCCTGTATTTCATGGAGCAATTTCTACACGTCTGTTTACCTCGCAGCTATTGTAATTCTGTAAATGTGCAGCCAAAGATAGTTCCGTGTTACAAGTAATACAAGTGCCCTACGATTTGAAACAAAATGTTGTATGTTTTACTGCGTATGTAAGTAGTTCATTAAGATAAATAATCATAGAATATGGGCAAATCTTATACAAATACAAATCACCGTTTTAGAGAAAAAAAGTAATTAATATTAAGGGAGTTAACTCAACAATTCCAATACTAAAAGATAGTTTATGATTCTGAGGAGTTGTTGATAACATAACAATACATAATATCTATTAATATTGCCATCTTCATAAGTCATACACAGTCTTTTGGAATGAATATTGTTGACATTTGATTTGCTTTGTTTTGTTTTAAATCGATCAGAGTTTAGTGTTTACCAACAACGCGAAGCGGGTTACTTAATTCAGTATGGGGCTACCAAATGGTGGGCCGGCTCAATATTAGGCGTGTTTGATATTCAAATTCTCCCAACATAATTAGAACCCTTATACAGCTTTAACACCCAAAATAAAATATATTTAAAGGATCTTAATTGAGTTTCCATATCATATGAGATTGATGAAGCGAGTTGAAGAATTTTTTTAATTTAGCGAACTTCTGGCGAGCTACATAAATTTCATATGAAATGAATACGAGTGTAAGATCCTTTTTATCACATAATCAAGATTTGTTGCATTCATTCGTGTAAAACGACATTTTTCATGAAATGTAAAAAGACGCCATTTTGACTCCAGTGCGTAAGTCTGTGACGTCATGCACTTGTCTTAGGCGTGACGTCACAATTGAAATGATTGAAACTTACAACCAATCAGAGGGCTGATAGGTCATATTACATGGGTTAATACGCAAAATAGTATGACATGATAACACAGTACATTCACATGCAAAAGGTATTTCACAATACTGTAAAAATAGTTTTGAATTAAAGATATGTATTGTTACATTACGATTAAAACGGCATTTTAAATGACATCAATTACTATTAGTATTCAGTACAGGCATCATTTCTCTAAACTGTGTAAGATATGTGATACCGAAAATAGTTGCATTTGTTTATTGGAAATGGATTATCTGAAATCGAGTGTATTCAGTTATGAAATTTTAAAAAATAAGTACATGTTGCGTTTGATAAAAAAAAAATCCACATTTATTATTTTTTCTTTTAATTAATGTATTTATTTTCATTTTTTTTATCAAAAATTTATTGCCAGTATAATGGCTAAACTAATTATCTTTACATTTTCATTGAATATTTCAGCGGTCGATGACTGGTTTGGTGCGACAATGTTTAAAACTGTAGTTTACGCATTTTATTTATCCACGCATAGAACCTATATATGTTTATTGATTAGGTGGAATTCCTGTTGAACCGACGCCTCAACCGGAAGAAGAAATAAAGAAGCAGGACCTTGTTGGTGATCCAAAAAACCGCGTCATAAGTGCGGAGGCGCTTAAAGTGAGTTTTATTCATCTTTCCTGTAAATAATGGAATATGAGACAATATGAGATTTGTAAACAAAAATCACGCACAAAGCAAATACTGTGATATCAGATATTTTCGTCCGGCCCAAATTCCGTGGTTTCCAGGCAAAACACAATTCCATGGGTACATGAATTCATGGATTATGAGTACCCGCTCAAACGGAGAATTGCTTTATATCAAACATGTAATTACTTCGTGGATATATGAAGTCATGGATACAGGTAACAAACGAAATCAACGAAATTGAAAACAAAAAAAACGAAAATAAATTATTTCACGGTAAACGAATCTGGATTGAAGCTAAAGACAGACGAGTTCAGGTAAAATTGATCATATGACAATATATACATGTAAATAGATACTATCATAACTATATTATCACGGCTTTCGTCATATCATTATTAAATGGTTATTCATGTATTGTTTAAATGTATTAATGTTTATGTTACCGACATGATTTGTTTCTAAACCTTTCGGCTGTTGATTTATTTGTTTACTTTTTAAATTTGTGTTTTCATAGAATATGGGAAGCAGTGAATACAGTGATGTCATTGCTCAAGTTGTCGAGACAGCAGGAGGGCCACAAAGGGTTTGTATACATAATCAGATAAGTTTTATCATTTTATATCATTTTGTCGTGTTTAAGATAATAATTACAATAAGTTTATATAATAATACTATTTTTTTCTAGCGACTAAATAACGACTGGTCTGAGTACATATTGACTAAATTAGCTGAACAGACCACATGGGCTTTGTGAACAATGACTACTTGCCGAAATATTCACAATTGAAGTTCCAATTTAATCCGCCTTGCTACTTCCAGTCGCCATTTTGTAAACAGGGGCCTAATCTCGAGGTGATGCGCGTTTGAAAAAGTTTGACGTATTGCAAAGCTTCTAAACGATCATGCCCAGAACATACTCCCTAAGGATGATGTTTTTGATAAATTTACTATCAATTATTAACTATATTTCTTTTTTGTATCACTTTCATTAATTCATAAAAGAACAAATTGATTTTTTCCCCTTCAAACTTTTTTCTTTCAAATGTTAAAACACATTTGTTTTGAAAAAATGTTCTAGTTTCGAGATTATGATCAAACGTCGTCTGCTTCGCAAACATTCAAGAACATAATATTTACAATGTATTGATATTGTTTTTATTAACTCGTTTATTCTTTAAACTATCTTTAATTGATAAATATACAAGATTTTGCATTTTATGACGTAACCGGAAGCGCACTTGATACGAGAACGTGACCCGGAAATACCTCACAACATAATCAGGACAGTAATAATAAACAGACGTTTATCCAGAGACGTATATAACACTTTATACGTCTCTGGTTTATCGAACATTAACAGATTAATACCGTATGTATTGAGACACTGATGTGCTAGAATACAACACAAGGTAACACTCGTTTAATCCATTGCTATCATATCAAGTACAAACTGACATTTATGCGAAAATATCAGCATTAAATGTTTGCGATCGCGCAGACCTACTTTCGTTTTACAGTTTACATACATTTGTACATGTCGGCATCAACAGTATACCTTAACTTGTGTTAACATCGTGCCGAAGATTATGCATAGGCGCATTCGAGGAAAAGTTCGTGATTAAAAGCCTGTGTGTGGTTTTTTTTTATCTTAAAGTTATCGGATAAAAGCATAGTGGTATGTTACTTCAAGATACAAGAATTAATATTTTACGTTGAATATATGTCATAGTTAACATAAGCTCTCAGGAGCTTGTATTTCGACAAACATATATATATATATATAAATGGTAAAACATTGTAACAGTGTAAGGCAAACAACATTTTTTTTATCACAAAATACCTATGTTGGACGGATTAAGATAAAGAGGCTAAATAATCATACTGTACAAAATTTGGCACTAAAACTTACTTAAAAACCAGTCCAGAGGGCAGGTGATTGGGACATAGCATTTATTTGTAACCAGGTGCACAGGTTTGGTAGCCGTTAATATTAAAAGACGTTTTTAGTATTGATGCTGCTTGTGACGCCAGTGATGTATTTTTCGCTTACAAGTTAAAGCGTCGTTATCCAAGAAGAAGAATAGTACAAAATGAAAAGTGTGAATTGCCTACAGCTCCTGTCAAAAGTAAAAAACATTCCTCTCATGTTCTTTCTCGTCACCTGGACGTTTGTAAGTTAAAACAGCTGGTCTCGCAGACGCTTAAGGTCATAGGCGTGTATTGCTAAACGGAAATAGGAAGTACATTCCTAGTTGAAAATCCAATATAGGGAGACAGTATCTCAATTTCCGCATATTCTAATGTTTAATATTAAACTGATGAATATTGTATCCTTATTATTGACAGAACAGTGGGTTCTTTCAATATTAAAGTATTGCAAAGCAATCCAGGCATTAATTCAGGTTTTTAATCAATGAGTCACATGTGTCCATTTTCTGTACTTCAGGAAACCGGCTACCTATTTCAGTACTGTGACGTTTTTCAAGAACGATAACTCTTGCATGCAATTACTATGTGTATATGGTTTTATTATAAAATGTCAATTTTTAATCGTTTATAGATAATGAATTTTACACAAGTTCAGCATTTATGAAATTGATACACATTAATGCAATACTAATCTATATTAGTATCATTTTTATTGACATTATTTTGCAAAAAATTGTGTGTTTCATTTTTTTTCCAACATTCACTCCTTTTTACATAAATTTCCGTTTAAAATCCTTAAAATTCTGACAACCTATTTTTTTTTTGTGGCAGAAAATGTTTTTTACTTCAAAGCAATATAACTACAAAATTTGAATAAATTCTACTGAGAAATGGCGACACAATCCAATTACCTTAAACTATGTACACAATATATGTACAGTTATACCATAGTATTGTAATTGTCTCGGTATGCGTTCCAGGTCAGGTAATAGAGCATCAAATGTATTAAATTCAAATAAAGCACCACTTCACGACAATCATGGATTCATATGGGTACAATGTTATTAAAATAACATTCATACAGTGCATGCAAGCTGAAATTAACAAATCATTTGTTTAAAATAATAAGTCATCATTTCCATGAAATTATCCAAATAAATAAGATCTTTATGTCAAAATAATGTTCAGGTTTGATTTAGTATTGTTTAATGTACGTCCTATCAACAGCTATACATGGTCATTTAAGGATGGCCTCCCCCATTTGCTAGATGCATGCGTGTGGTGAGTTTGTGCATATTTAATTTGTG